GCACTGAAAAAACAGACTTGTGACTATTTTTCACACTTACAACTGCTGCAGCATCCCCACAGTCACAAGATCAAAATTCAGATTCTTGCAACTGGCTCATATTTACGACGGTCACTGTGTCCCAGAGTCACGTGATCCCCTTTTGTGACCTTCTGGCAAGGAAACCAGGTTCCCTTCATAACCATGTCAATGACTTAACCGCTGCAGTGATTCACTTAACAGGTATGGTAAAAAGGTTGTAAATTGGTGCAAAATTCACTTTACAACTGTGTTGCTTAGCAATTTTGGGCTCAATTGTGGCTGTAACTTGAGGACTACCTGTTATTGCAATTCTGGCTTCTCTCCCTTCAGCTCTGATTCTCATTCCAACCTCCTCCTAATTAACCTTCCGAGTTTTGCCGTGCATTCAATTCCCTTTTGGGAGATTCCCCGCAAAAGTCGGGCCTTTAACTCGCCAAACTAACCCATGAGTGGCTCGGTCCAAAAATGAGGCAACCGGTCTGGCTGGACTAACTCTCGATCAACCCTTGTAATCAGGGTGATTTCTTCGAAAGGCTGATTTCCTGCTTTTGAATTTTGTCAAAATTCAGTCCTTAGAGCAGGGCTGAGCAACTGTGGCCATCCTGGCTGGCTCAGGAATTCTGGGAATTGAAGTCCTCCGGTTGTAAAGTGGCCACAGTTGCTCAGCCCTGCGCTAGAGAATATTTTGGCACGGTGTCCGTCTTGGCTGGGGGTTCCCAACAGTCCCTTTCTTCTTCTTGTTATTAAGATGGCATCTCTCTGTGTTTGTTTTCTTCCCTCTCTGTTTGCATCCAGACAATCGGACCCTTTCACGGTCTGGGGGCAGAGCGGGAGGAGGCCTTCTTTGAATCGGTTTAATATATAACGGGGGTGGGGGGGGAGGACAGGAGGGTCATTTGGAGAAGGAGAAAGAAAAATCTGTGTCAACAAATACTATTCCTGCCTCGGTTGGGCTGGGAATAATTAGGGACCAGCCTTTGTCTTGAAATGGAATAAGGTTTTCTGCTCGAGCAAGGGGCTTGGACTGGAAGACCCCCAAGGTCCCTTCTGAGTCTGTTGTTCTGCTAATAGAAATTTGGAAAAGCTCTGATAAAAAGATGGAGCCATCCCAATATGGGATGCTGGAAGTCACAGCGTCTTTCCTGGCCCTAAAAGGGCTCCTGTGCTCACCTGTGCTGATTGTCACAGGATGCGGAATAAGGGAGTTGGAAGGGACTTGCCCAAGCAGGAGCCCTTCTACCATTCCCCTTGCACACCAGTTGAGCCGTTGCCTAGGAGGGTCTGCAGAGGGGACTTCCAAAGGCCTTTGGGAGGGAGTCGGCTGGTCAGTTAAGCCCTGAGGCCAGGCATCTCAAGCTTAGCAACTTTGGAGAATGGCCGTAGACATTCAGAGGGTTTGACCTGTGGCCCCTCCTTCTGACCCCTTGGGCAGCAACCCCAATGGGGCAACCCTCTCAGGGTGGCCTCCTTTTTCCTAATTCCCCAGTGGAGCCAACAGCCTTGAGGTTCCTTGGAGGCCTCCCATCTTAGTACTGAGCAAGGTGACCCTGTGCCGGTTCGGAGGTCCTGGGGTGGTCTCACCTGCCGGGGAAAGATCAGCCTTCCCTCACCTGGGGGCCAGAACGAGGCTCATCTCACCTGTCTGAGATAGACCTCTTCTATTAAGTGAGCCCAGCCTTCCTGGCAGCAAAGGTTTATTGGTTAATCGGGTTATTAACTCAACGGTCATAGCCGCCCATCTATCTTCTGAAACTCTGGGCAGCAAACACCATAAAACAAACCCCGTCTCCTAAAAAGCAAAGCAAAACCCAGGTGAGCCCCCTGCAGAAACCTCACTCCCCTCCCTTCCCCCCCCCACCCGCTGTGCATGCCAGTGCTCTGTGGTCATCAGTGAACAGGCTGCCCCCAATGCCTGGGGGAAGCGCCAGGGCTTAGTCAGGGTTGCCGTATCTCCAGGGGGAGGCTGCTCCCAGGGCAGGGGCAGGACAGAGAGACACCCCCCCACACACACACCACTGATCCACCAAGGGGGTGGGAGATGAGCAGGCTGAGCCGGGGGTGGGAAACAGAAGAATCAAGTGCACCATCCCTCTTGGCCCCACAGGGGATCCAGGTTCAGTCCTCCTCAAATTCGGTTCACCCTCACCTACCGCCTAAGGTAGTCCTCAACTTACGACCACAATTGGAAAGGAAGGCAGGCTTTGAAATAGTATCAAAAGTGAGATATCTAGGAGTTCAAGTTGCAGATTCAAATATAAAACTGTTTCAAAATAATTATGAGGTGTTGTGGCAAAAGGTACAAAAGGATATGGAAACCTGGAAAAAACTGAAGCTGTCTTTATTTGGAAGAATAGCAGCAGTTAAAATGAATGTTCTACCTAGATTTTTATTTTTGTTCCAAATGATTCCGGTGCTTAAAAGTGATAAATATTTGACTGAATGGCAAAAAGGAGTGAACAAGTTTGTTTGGAATGAGAAAAAGCCAAGAGTTAAACTGAAAATTATGCAAGATGTTCATGAAAGGGGTGGTCTTAAACTTCCAAACCTGAGATTATATTATGAAGCTGCAGCGTTTACACAAGCAAGTGATTGGTTTGGAAGGACAAAGACTGGAATGTTGAATATAGAAAGTCATGATCTTGAATTTGGTTGGCATGCATACTTATTTTATGAAAACAAGGTTGACAAAGTATTTAATAGCCATATACTTAGAAACTCCTTGATGAGAGTATGGAAGAAGCACCGATTCAAATGGGATTACAAAATACCGTTGTTGCTGGATCTTGGTCACATCATACGGAATATAAATATAAAGTCACTCGGGGAGTTTTTATATAAAGAAGTACTTCTTAATGATGGGGGCAGATGGCAACTAAAGACATTGAACACACTGTTGGAAGAAGGGATTAATTTAACTTGGTTACAGTATAATCAACTTCAATTCAGATGGAGAGAAGATCAAAAAACCGGTTTAATGTTGCATGAAGAAGAATTGGTTAGACAGATAAAAGAGAAAGGCCCAATGCATATTAAGAGGATTTATAATGTCTTGTTAGAAAGAGATTCAGAAAATGAATTGGTTAAAGACTGTATGATAAAATGGGCGCAAAATTTGGGAGAACCAGTTATGATGGAATCATGGGAAAAAATATGGGTTCAGAATGTTAAGTTTACACAGTCGCAGAATTTAAGGGAAAATTTTTATAAAATGTTTTATAGGTGGCATTTAGATCCTAAGAAATTGTCATGTATGTATCCTAATGTTCAACCGAAATGTTGGAGATGTGATTGCTTAGATGCTACATATTATCATATATGGTGGACATGCAAGAAAGCCAAGGCTTTTTGGATAAAAATTTGGTGGGTTATGCAAAATGTTTTAAAGAAAAAAATTCATTTTTCTCCTCATCTGTTTTTACTGGGTATAGTTAAGGGTTTCTCAGTGGGTGAAACAAAATTGATATTGTATATGGTGACAGCAGCCAGGTTACTGATTGGTCAGTATTGGAAAAGGGTTGATATGCCTACAATTCAAGAATGGACTTTGAAGATGGCCAGTTTCGCAGAAATGGCGAAGATATCAGCATACTTAAAAGATCGGACTCAAGAGACTTATCTATGGGAGTGGAAGAATTGGATAGATTATGTGCAGAATAAATACCAAACCAGGAAGTACCAGATAGTTTTTAGCTAAATGTTGTGTAGAAATGTATAGTTTATAGGGGGCAAAATAGCTTATTGTGATGTAGAAATTTATAGTGCACAGGGAGGAGAATAGTGGGGTGGTAAAGTATGATATAATACAATGTGGATGGATTTCACCTTGAGGAAGTCATGGGGAGGGAGGGTTTGGGGGGGTTAGGGAAGGATGGGGGGGGAAATGGGGGAAAATTGTTGTTTGTAAAACTTTTTCAATAAAAAAAAAAAACTTGCGACCACAATTGAGCCCAAAATTTTGGTTGCTAAGCAAGACATTTGTTAATTAGGATTTTCCTTTATTTTTGTATGTTTTTAACTTGTGTTCGCCGCCCTGAGTCCTTTGGGAGAAGGGCGGCATATAAATATTTGTAAATAAATAAATAAGTGAGCTTTGTCCCATTTTGCAACTTTCTTTGCCACACTCGTTAAGGGAATCACCACAATTGTTAAGATAGAAACATGGTTGTTAAGTGAATCTGGCTTCCCCATTGTTTGTGAGGTCAAGAAAGGGATCACACGACTCCGAGACACTGCGACCGTCATAAATATGAAGCAATTGCCAAGCGTCCGAATATTGACCAGGTGACCCTGGGGATGCTGCAAACAGCCGTGTGAAAACCGGTTATAAGTTACTTTTTTCAATGATGCAACTTCAAACAGCCACTAAACAAACTGTTGTAAGTGGAGGACTACCTGTACCTCAGAGACCCCCCCGAGGACCCCCCAGTTTAAAACCCTGAGCGATGAATATTTTGGGTGCTGCCCTAAGGGTCCTCGGCCCTCTAGAAGCCCAAAACAGGAGACCCTCGGTAGCTCAGGGTTGAAACGAGGGGTCCTTGGTGGCCCCCGAGGCTGGTTGTCTTCCTGCAGGCGTTTCATGGCCCAGCTAGGGAACATCAAATCCCTTCCACACGGAAACCACCAGGCTGGCTCAGAGACCCCCAAGGCCCCCTCGCTGCCGGTTTGCTCTTAACCTCTCCCAATTGGAACGTTTTGTGTTTATAATGGTTCGATCTGTTCATTACATCCCTGGAGCCGTTGCGAGTCGCCGCGAGATAAAGGAAGAGAACGGAAACAGCTGGAGGACTCCAACGAGCAAAGTGGAGATGGGGAAGGGGCGAGGGGGGCCTGCTTGCCCAATCAGCGGCCCGAGGGTCTTTGGGGGGGGAGGGCGGGAGCGAGGCGCAGGGGCGGGGCGGGGCGGGGGTGACGTCACGGGCGGGCTGCAAGGCGGCGGCGGCGGCAGCGGGATGGCCGAGCGGCGGCGGCGGGCATCCTCGGCGGCCGAAGCTCGGCTGCGCTCCCGGCATCCCGGCCCGGCGCCAGCGCTGCGGCGGAGCCCATGGTGCTGAGCCTGCTGCTGTGGGCCTGCGAGCTGTGCCGCCTGGCCATGGGCGCGCCGGGGGCCGCGTCGGGCTGGTGGGCGGAGGGGCTGGGCGGCGCCGACCTCCCGCCCGGGCTGGGCTCGGCCATCCAGGCGGCGCTGGAGCGGAGCCTGCCCGAGCTGCACCAGGCCGTCTCGGCGGCCAAGCAAGCGGCCGGGCCGGCGGACCTGCAGGCGCGGCTGGGCGCCGTGCTGGCGCTGGTGGAGGAGGCGTGGGGGCTGCCGGCCGTGGGGCGCCAGGTGGCCAAGGGGCTCTGCCACGCGCTGCGCCTCGAGGGCGGCCTCGACCTCCTGCTCGACCTCCTCCGCGGCGCCCAGCCCGAGAGCCGGAATCGCGCGGCGCAGCTGCTGGAACAGGTGCTGGTGGCCGAGAACAGGTGAGCCCAGGTGAGCCCCGCGGGCGGAGGAGGCAGGCAGCTGCTGCCCCTCCGCTCTGCCCGAGGCCGGCCTTCGCCTGTCCAGGTCTCCGTGTGTCCATGCACGTAGGTTACCATATAAGAAGAGGGCCGCGGAATGGCATTTTCACGTATGCCGATTAGGGTCCGTTCCAAGTGGCAAAGTGTATTCTAAGGGAAGAGAAGAGCAACAAGGATGATTAGGGGAGGGGGGGGAGGCGTGTCAACCTATTTTTCCCAAGCCCCAGAAGGCAGCACAAGAAGCATCCGATGGAAACTCATCAAGGAGAGAAGCAGCCTGGAATTAAGGAGAAACACTTCCTGACAGTGAGGACACTTCACCAGTGGAACAGCTTGCTCCATCAGCGGAGGCTTTTAAGAATCGATAGAATAGATAACATTCTTTATTGGTCAAGTGTGATTGGACACACAAGGAATTTGTCTTTGGTGCATAGGCTCTCTGGGTACATAAAAAGACAAGAAAGATACATTCGTCAAGAATCATAAGGTACAACAATTAATGATAGTCATGGGGTACAAATAAGCAATCAGGAAACAATATCAATATAAATCGTAAGGATACCAGCAACAAAATTACAGTCACGCAGTCATCAGTGGGAGGAGATGGGTGATGGGAACGATGAGAAGATTAATAGTAATACAGTCTTAGTAACTAGTTTGACGGTGTTGAGGGAACTAGTTGTTTAGCAGAGTGATGGCGTTCAGGGAAAACCTGTCCTTGTGTCTAGTAGTTCTGGTGTGCAGTGCTCCATAGCGTCGTTTTGAGGGCAGGAGTTGAAAGAGTTCATGTCCAGGATGCGAGGGGTCTGTAGATACAGGATACAGGTCCTCAATGGCAGGCAGGTTGGTAGCCATGGTTTTTTCTGGAAGTGACTGGACAAACATTTTACCAGGATGGTATAGACTACAGCCGTGATGGCAAACCTATGGCCTGTGTACCAGAGGTGGCACGCAGAGCCCTCTGTGTGGGCACATGCGCCATCGCCAGCTGCTCTTCTGGTTTCTGCCGTGCACATGCACACCGGCCAACTGGTCTTCATGGGTGTTGGGGCACCGGAAAACTGCCTGAAAGTGGACAACAAAAAAGTGGCCCCCAAAAAAGGCCATTTTTCAGGCTGTTTTCAGGTTGTTTTTCGGGCCGTTTTTGGCCTGGAAAACGTCCAAAAACAGCCAGAAAACAGGCATGTGTGCATCAGCCAGCTGGTCTTTGGGTTTCTGGCACTCCGGCGCACACACATGCACACACATGCATGCGCGTTCCGGTTTGGGCACTCGGTGCCGAAAAGGTTCACCATCACTGGACTAGAGTCTCCTGCTTGAGGAGGGGTTGGACTAGAAGACCTCCAAGGGCCCTTGCGACTGTTATTCTGTTATTTATTGCCTTGTGTCCAGACACTTGGAGTCCAGCCAGCCTAAAATCCCCCCACACCTCTACGTGGCTGAATAAGAAGGAAGGCAAAGCTGTGACTCATTCAGAGAGACAGCAGGGCGCCTCCTTGTTCCTGGCATCCTCCACGGGGGAGGGGGACCCTTCAGGTGACCCAGTTGGACAAAGGAGGCTGGGCCTGGTGGGCTGGGCTGGGGCGTCATGGTAAGGCTCAGGCAGCATTAAGGGAAGAGCCTGAGTAATTTCCCCACACCAATTCCATGCGAGGAGGGGATTGTGAGGGTTGCAGGCCGAACGTCTGGGCAGCTGACCAAGCTGGGAGGACATATCCGGGAATTGACGGTGTGTGAACATTGATTGCGAACTGCAGGTGGCTGTTTGTGAAGACGATGCAGGAGAAGAGCAGGCAGAGATGGGGGTCAGAGTTAAACACGTCATCAGCTCAGTGTCCTTGTGTTGCCACAAACGATTCATGTTCAACACCTCCTGAATTCCACCGACCCTTTCCTGGCGCCAGTTTAGTACTGAAATTTAGTTGACTACATTCTTGTGTGTTGGCTTGAGCAATAAATCTTTGAGCTGTAACTTAATCCGTGGTCCTGATCCTTTGCTCCTGGTGGAAGCCCACAAGTCCCTCCTGTTCCCCTGCCCTTCCCCTAGGCTACCCGGGTTCTTCCTCCTGCCCAGCCGTGTGTGTCCTGCCTGGGGGCAGCGAGGCTGGCAGGTGACACCGGAAGCATCATTTGCATCCCTGAGACGGTTGTGCAGAATCCCGCTTGCTCTACTTGCTCAGTTTTCAGCTTGTTGCCTGGACTGAATTGTTGCTAGTGCAGCATTTCTCTACCTTAACAGTTTGAAGACCTCTGTGCTTCACCTCCCAGAATTCCCCAGGCAACTTGGTGGCTGGGGAGTTCTGGGAAGAAGTCCACACATCTTCAAGGTTGCCAAGGTTGAGAAATCTTGCCTAGTGGGTTGTTGTGCTGCTGACCTGGAGAACTGAGTTCCAGAAAGGTGCCCCCCTTGCTCACCCCACCCCTTTTGTGAAGCTGTCTTCACTCACCCGGACGGGGTGGGTGGGGGTGGGGTGTCTGCACCGGAGGGAGCCGAAAGGAGAGCAGCCAGGAGAGAGCTGAGCCCTCTGGATGCAGGCAGTTCCCAGCAGGGGAAATTGGGGGCAGCCAGGGGGTGGATTTGCTTGAACCCTGGGCTGGTGCTTTTGTCCTGGGGGCTGTTTCCCCTGAAGGGACTTTATTGGGGAAATGTGTTTGGCCCCTGTTCACTGGCCAAAACATGACCTGGTGTCCGGCCAAAGGAACCAAGAACGACACCTGGAATTCCTTCCGAGAAAGTTTCTTTATTGTTGTTTGCCCACAGACAGAATCTTCCCAGACTAAAGCAATTATAGGTCTCTATTTATTTTCCATCGTACCTCAAGATAACTCTGTGAACCGTTAGGGAGGGTCTTCTTTGCTCTCTACTTGCCCACCACCCATTCCCAGCTCAGATGCCTCTTTGGCCCCTGGGAAGCAGCCCCTCCCCCTGTTGACCAAGTAGTCCTTGTGCCCAAAATTTCTGTTGCTAAATGAGACATTTGTTAAGTGAATTTTGCCCCATTTTCCGACCTTTCTTGCCAGAGTGAATCACTGCAGTTGTTAAGTGAATCTGGCTTCCCCGTTGACTTGGCTGGACAGAAGGTGGCAAAAGGGCATCACCTGACCGTCATAAATGTGAGTCAGATGCCAAACATCTGGATTTTGGTCATGTGACCGTGAAGATGCTGCAATGGTCATAAGTATGAAAAACAGCCATAAGTCACTTTTTTCAGTGCTCTTGTAACTTTGAATGGTCGTTAAACGAACCGTTGTAAATCCAGGACTACTTGTACATTCCACACGGAGAGGGACGGCTCCATGTCTCTGAAGACGCTGAGCAGAGCGGAGGCCCCTCTGTCTGGGGCAGAAGGAGGCCCCTCTTTGGTCCCGGGGCTCCCCCGGCTGAGTCTGGGGTTCCTCACCCCCACCCCCTTTGGCAAGGCTGATCCAGGAGGTGCTCAAGGGAAATGCATCCGTGGGTCTCTCCAGGGGAGCCTGGAAGGAGGGGGGCAAGTCTGCAGAGTCCCCTTGAGATGCTGTCTGCCTTGGGCCCCCTCCCAACTCAGAGGCTTCGTGGGTGGACCGGTGCCATCTGTCCTTCCAGCTCCCCTTCCCCTTTCATTTTCTGAAACCAAAGAGTGGAAGCTTTGGCTCCAGGTCCTGCAAAAGCTCTAAGAGCGCCACAGGCAGTCCCTAAATTTGATAAAGACAGACAGACAGACGGGGGTGGAGGGGGGAGGGAAGGAAGGAAGGATGGAGCTGCGAGGGCTCACCAGTAAATTTCTGGATGTCATATGCTGTTTCCCCCCCAACCCCCAGATTTCTTTGTCAAAATATAATTGTGTGTGTGTGTGTGTGTTGTTGGCTGGGAAATGGGATCTGCTTAGAGTCTTTGTGTATCTGAAATGTTGAAAAGGATCAAGCCAGTTTCCAAGAGGAGGGCTAGGCCAGCCCCCTCCCTCCCTCCCTTTGGGGCTGAGTCACCAGGAGCTGAGCTCAGCTGCAGGGAGTCTTTGGAGGGGGTGGGGGAGGCAATGCCTGGGGTTGGCTGACATGACACCTGAGGAGGCAGTTCTTGGAATGGGGAGAAGCAGGGAAACTACCTTCCCCAGGGGGGTCTTCCAGTCCCTCCCCCTGCTCAAGCAGGAGACCCCGTCCCATTTCCTCCCACTGAAGCAGGAACAGGCAGTGAGACACCCCATGTCTTCGTTTTGAAACCAGCATTGCCCTACAGAATGTTATCTGGGATGAGTTTGACTCTGTGACCCCTGAGGACGTGGACAGGATTCTGGGTAGACTGAATGCGACCACATGTTTGTTGGACCCGTGCCCCTCCTGGTTAGTGCTGGCTTCCCGGGAGGTGACGCGAGGCTGGCTCCAGGGGATTATAAATGCTTCATTGAGTGAGGGTGTCTTTCCTGCCGCCTTGAAAGAGGCGGTGGTGAGACCTCTCCTCAAGAAGCCTTCCCTGGACCCGGCAATATTGGCTAATTATCGTCCAGTCTCCAACCTTCGCTTTGTTGCGAAGGTTGTTGAGAGTGTGGTGGCACGACAGTTTCCCCGGTACGTGGATGAAACGATGTATCTAGATCCATTCCAGTCCGGCTTCAGGCCTGGGTACAGCACGGAAACGGCATTGGTCGCGTTGGTGGATGATCTCTGGAGGGCTCGGGACAGAGGTTGTTCCTCTATCCTGGTCCTATTAGATCTCTCAGCGGCTTTTGATACCATCGACCATGGTATCATGCTGCACCGGTTGGAAGGGTTGGGGGTGGGAGGCACCGTATTACGGTGGTTCTCCTCCTTTCTCTCTGACCGGTTGCAGTCTGTGTTGACAGGGGGGCAGAGGTCGACCCCGAGGCCCCTTATATGTGGGGTGCCACAAGGATCGGTCCTCTCGCCCCTTTTGTTCAACATTTATGTAAAGCCGCTGGGCGAGATCATCCGTGGTTTCGGGGTGGAGTACCATCAGTACGCTGATGACACCCAGCTGTACATCTCCACCCCAGACCACCCCAACGATGCCCTTGAAGTGATGTCCCGGTGCCTGGAGGCCGTACGGATCTGGATGGGGAGAAACAGGCTCAGACTCAACCCATCCAAGACCGAGTGGCTGTGGTTTCCGACGTCCCGATATAGTCAGCTGGTGCCATCGCTGACTATTGGGGGCGAAGCATTGGCCCCCACGGAGAGGGCTCGCAACTTGGGTGTCCTCCTGGATTCACGGCTGTCTTTAGAAGAGCACTTGACGGCCGTGACCGGGAGGATTTTTCATCAGGTTCGCCTGATCCGCCAGTTGCGTCCCTTTCTGGATCGGGACTCGTTACGCACGGTCACTCATGCCCTCGTCACCTCCCGTCTGGACTATTGTAACGCTCTCTACATGGGGCTCCGCTTGAGGAGCACTCGGAGGCTCCAACTGGCGCAGAGTGCAGCCGCGCGGGTGGTGATGGGAGCAACGTGGCGCTCCCATGTAACGCCTCTCCTGCGCGAGCTGCACTGGCTCCCGGTGGTCTTCCGAGTGCGCTTCAAGGTTTTGGTCATCACCTTTAGAGCGCTCCATGGCTTAGGACCTGGTTATCTACGGGACCGCCTGCTACCACCAATAGCCTCCCACCGGCCAGTACGCTCCCATAGAGAGGGGCTCCTCCAGGTGCCGTCGGCCAAACAATGTCGACTGGCGGCCCCCAGGGGGAGAGCCTTCTCTGTGGGGGCACCTACCATCTGGAACGAGCTCCCCCCAGAGATGCGGAGGATTCCGGATCTGCGTACCTTCCGTCGCACGCGTAAGACGTTCCTATTCCAGCAAGCCGGCCTGGCCTAAACTTCTCCGCTTTTAAATGGGAATTTTAAATTTGGTTTTAAATTATTGGGGTTTTAAATACGGTTCAGCCAAATTTATTTAATTTGTTTTATCTCTATTTTAAATTTTGTATTTATATGTTTTATTTTATGGCTGTTCACCGCCCTGAGTCCTTCGGGAGTAGGACGGTATACAAATTCAATAAAATGACAAATGACATTAGATGCTGGGCAGCCCCATCCTTGGCCAATGTGGCACATAGCTTAGCTTGGAAAATAGACTTGGAAAGGACCTTGGAGGTCTTCTAGTCCAACCTCCTGCTCGGGCAGGAAGCCCTATTCCACCCCAGACAAATGGCTGTCCAGTCTCTTCTTTAAAACCTCCAGTGATGGAGCACCCACAACTTCTGGTGGCCAGTTGTTTAATTGTCCTCACTGTCAGGAAATTCTTCCTTCTTAGTTCCAGGTTACTTCTCCCCTCGGTTAGTTTCCAGTCCTTATTTCTTGTCCTGCCTTCGGGTGCCTTGGAGAACAGGTTGACCCCCTTCCTCCTCTCTGGGGCAGCCCCTCAAATATTGGAAGATGTTCTCATGTCTCCCCTGGTCCTTCTCTTCACTAGACTAGCCATGATGCCCAGTTCCTGCAACCGTTCATCGTAGGTTTTAGCCTCCAGTCCCCTAAATCATGTTGGCTGCTCTTCTCTGCACTTTCTCAGAGTTTCAACATCTGGGGAACCCTCAGCTCCCCCTGGGCAGGGGTGCAGAGAGAATGCGGCTGCCTTGTATGGTCTCAAAACATTTGAAGGTGGAGCCAAAGGCCTGGAGAGGGTGGATTGGGACCCCTCTGGGCTGCATGAGCCCCAGGCTGGTGTCCCCTCCCCTCCGTTCCCTGTGCCTTCCATAGCTTCCTGGGGTCCCTGCTTTGATGCGGCTGCTCACCTGCCCTCTGCTTGCCTGGCAGGAACCGGGTGGCTCAGATCGGCCTGGGGGTTGTGCTGAACCTGGCCAAGGAGCGGGAGAGCCTCCCTCTGGCCCGGAGCACCTCGGGCATCCTGGAGCACATGTTCAAGCACTCGGAGGAGACCTGCTTCCAGCTGATCGCCAACGGAGGCCTGGATGCCGTCCTCTTCTGGTGCCGCTGGAATGACCCCGTGGTGCTTCGCCACTGCGCCGCCGCCTTGGCCAACTGCGCCATGTACGGCGGGCCGGCCAACCAGCGGCGGATGGTGGAGAAGAAGGCAGCTGAGTGGCTCTTCCCGCTGGCCTTCTCCAAGGAGGACAACCTGGTCCAGTTCCAGGCCTGCCTGGCCATTGCCGTGCTGGCCACCAACAAGGAGATCGAGAAGGAGGTGGAGAAGTCGGGCACACTGGCCCTGGTGGAGCCCTTCATCGCCACCCTCGACCCGGGCCGCTTCACCCACAGCTGGCTGGGCAGCAGCGACAACAGCCAGGGCCGGACGGCGGACGACCTGCAGAGCCTGGTGCCCCTGCTGGACAGCTCCCGCCTGGAGGCCCAGTGCATCGCCGCCTTCTACCTCTGCGTGGAGGCCGCCATCAAAGCCCAGCAGAAGAAGACCGAGGTCAGCAGGGCGGGGGGGCCGGGGGGGCCTGATGGGCTTGGGGCAGGAGAAGCCACACCCGACACTGGGATTGGGTTGAAAGACCCAGTTTTGCAAGAGGCACCCAGGCCTCTGGGGCACAGGAGCCCCTGCCTTGCCAAGAGAACAGATCCCCTCTTTGGCCCCCTCCCCACCACCCGCTCCAGAACTCAGGGGGCGGGGGGAAAGGAAACCAATCTTCCCAATGCCTTTGAGGAGGCTGCCCCAAAGTTTCTGGCTTGGAGACTCGGAGATGGGAGGTCCTGGGATGAGCCCATCCTTGGGATCCCCAGCCTGACTCAGCCAGTTCCTGTCTTCCCCAACGTGGCGCCCTTCCTCTCCATAGTACTCGGCTTCCTTGCGATGGAATAGCTGCCCCTCCCCAGGACTGAGGTCCAGCCCACCGGGGCAGGTGCTAGTTGGGGCAGCTGGCACCAGGGTGGATTTGATTTAAATCAACTTGATTTAAATCATAATTTTTAAAGAGCAACTGTCATCTCTGCTACTCCTTTGACCCACTGTTGACTCACCGATAGTCCCAGTGTTGCAGAATATACAGCCTCCTGCTACATAACTGAGCTCCATTTCATGCTGAATAAACTAAATTATTTATGTATCTTAAATAGAAAACTATCTTACGATAGATTTTTACCCCAAAAGTTTTTTATTAAAATAAATTCAATAAAAATCAAAAAAATCTGATTTAAATAAAAAAAATCCGATTTAAATAAAAAAAAAATCCGATTTTTTTGATTTTTTTTAAAAAATCATTGATTTTTATCCACCCTGGCTGGCACACACTGTCTTGTAAGAGCCGACGGTGCCCCTTTTGTTGCCAGATCTTTGCAGAGATCGGGGCCATCCAGAGTCTGAAAAGGATCGTCTGTTACTCAGCCAATGGCACCACCTCCGTGCTGGCCAAGCGGGCGCTGTGCACCATGGGTGAGGAAGTGCCCCGGCGGCTCCTGCCCACAGTGCCCAACTGGAAGACCCCCGAGGTGCAGAAGTGGCTGCAGCAGATTGGCTTCGTCAAGTACTGTCCCCGCTTCCTGGTAGGAGTTTGGCGGGGGGCGGACCCCAAAGCTGGTAGGGTGGTGGAGGGGGAGCCCTACCCAGTGGCGATGAGCAAAGGATGGCCTATTGGCCAGGCACTCAGCAGTGGGCTCCCAGCTCTGGCTCAGGTCGTGGCCATGTAGCGAATGGAATGGGGGGGGGGCGCAGGATGCTAATCCGTGGTGTGATGGTGGGGGAGACATGAGGGCTCAGACTTTAGGGGAGGCTCAGCTCGGGTTGCTTCCTGAGCTTGGTGGCTCTCTGGCCGTACCTTTGTTTGTTTGCCACCTGGACTAATTACAGGGTTGGCCATATAAACAGAAGCATCACAGAAGGAAGAGAGAAAAGAGGAAGAGAGAGAAAGGGAGAGAATACAGAAGTAATGGAGAGAGAAAAGAAAGGAGGGAGAGAGAGGAAGAGGAAGAAAAGGAGGAAGGAGGGACGGAGAGGTGTGACATACAAATTGAATAAATAATGGAAGGAAGGAAGGAAGGAAGGAAGGAAGGAAGGAAGGAAGGAAGGAAGGAAAATAGAAGGCGGGAGTCTGTAAAGATCCTCAGTCATCCAGGTCATGGTTGTCCCAAAGGTGCTTTTTTCAGGAGGCAACTGGACTTCCGGGTTTCCCTTCCCCACCATCCAGTCAGAGCTGAAGAAGCTTCTTGGATGAGAAGCAAAACGTCTTCAAAGAGAAAACAAGGAAGTCCAGTTGCCTCTTGGAAAAGCCCTTTTAGAAGGAGGGAAAAAGAGGAAGGGGGGGAAGGACATTGCACTGGACAGTCCAGTCCAAAGGCTGAGATTCCCCTGGAACCTTCTGCCTCTGCAGGAGCACCAGGTGGACGGAGACCTGCTCCTGAGGCTGACGGAGGACGACTTGCTGACCGACCTGGCCATGAGCTCCAGCATCACCCGCAAGCGGTAGGAAGGCGGGGCTAGAACTCCCCCTCTCTGGTGATTGGCCCAAAGTCACCCAGCCGGCTTTCATGCCTAAGGCGGGGCTAGAACTCCCCGTCTCCTGGTTTCTAGTCTGGTGCCTAGACCAGGCCAAGCTGCCCCTTCCTGCCGGCTGAGCCCACCCCCCTCGCTCCCCCAGGTTCTTTCGGGAGCTGACGGAGCTGAAGACTTACGCCAACTACTCCACCTGCGACCGCAGCAACCTGGCTGACTGGCTGGCCAGTGTCGACCCCAAATTCCGCCAGTACACCTACAACCTGGTCACCTGCGGCATCGACCGGAACTTCCTCCACCGCGTCACGGAGCAGCAGCTGCAGGACGACTGCTGCATCGGCCTGAGTTTCCACCGCGTCCGAATCCTCTCTGCTGCCCGGGGTAAGGGGGGAGAGAGACCCCCGCTGGCCACCCCCGCTGCTGGACTACGGTATCCAGGGCTTGGCATTGCAGTCAAGATACACGCAGCTGGCCCAGATTCGGGGGGGGGAGGGGAGGCTGGCCTCTCCCAAGACATACATAACTCCAAAGGGCGACTGGTGTGGGGTGAGGGGCAGCCAAGCAGCAGCAGCAGCTCAGACCACATGGCTGCCCGGATTTCCAGGCCTTGCTGGCTCTTCCCTGAGCCTCAGATGCTGGAGGAGGGAGGAAGGGGCCTGGAGGAGGATTCCCAGTTGAGCCCCCTCCCGTGCATTGATTCTTACAAGAGGCTGGACTCAGTTCCCAGGTGCACCTGGTCTCTTGAGCTCAAGTTCCAGCTGAACATCCCCAACTGTTGTCCCAGAGGTGCGTTTTTTTCCAGGAGGCAGCTGGACTTTCTGGCTCTTCTTTTGAAGACCTGGAGCTGAAGGATAGGGAGGGATTTTTTTTTTTTTTTAGATAGCTGGGATTTTATAGCCGAAACAAAATACTTTCTCTTGGGAACCAAGGACATTCTCACACCTGGTCAGAGGAAGCAGAGCGATGTCACCAGACAGTGCTGTGATTGGACCATGTGACTGATTGTTTGTCCAACTTTTATTTTTAATTAGGTGAAAACCAGGGGAGCCTTCAAGGTCGGTTTTCACCAGATCTGTGCCAATATGGTATATCCAATAAAGCTACTCTTTGAGGAATTTGTCTGCCTCGGAGTTTTGTTTGCTGTGTTCCTTGGAACCCTGACAGCCTCTTGGATGAGAAGCGAAACGTCTTCAAAGGAAAACCAGAAAGTCCATTTGCCTCTTGAAAAAGCACCTTTGGGACAATCATGACCTGGATGACGGAGAAGCTCCATAGATGCCCCTAATTGTTCTTGGTCTTTTGGGGAGAGGAGGCTGGGGAGCGGGGCTGTCTGGCTAACGCAGGGAAGGGCCCGATCCAGCTGTTTCTGCTGCTTTCCTTGTTCCACCCAGAGATGCTTCACTCACCTCTGCCGTGCAACAGCCGGAAGTCTACCTTGGAGGGGACGGACGTCTTCATCAGCTACCGGCGGCGCACCGGATCTCAGCTGGCCAGGTATTGGGGGGGCTGCCTGGGGTGGGACCCTAGACCCACTTGCAATGAAAGGTGAGGTCAGCCCCCAGCCTGAAATGCCTCCGAGGGGCAGGGGAGGCGCCCCCGAGAGCAGCCAGAGATTCCAAGCAACAAGCATGGCTGCATCAGGTGCGATCCTGGGCCATTTTTTTCCTTCCTGGAAGGCTCTGTCCCTTGTCAAAATAAACACAAAGCAGCCCCCGTGAAGGGAACACACAATTCTTTGCAGGCCTCCTGTCCTCTGTGTGTTTCCAATCCACTGTCTTTATGAAAGCCCCTCTAGAAGGTGGGGCTGGATCTAATAAAGGGAAATGTTTGTAGTTTAGGGTTGAAATGAGGGGTCCTGGGTGCTCTCTGATCTTGGTGGCTTTCTGGCAGACGTTTCTTCTTTTTTTTTTTTATAGAAACTTTATTGAGATTTTTTACAGAACAAAAAGGAAATAAAAAGAAAACAAACAAACAAACAAACAAACAATCATTCAAACAATAACGTAGAACACATAAATATAATAAACATTTTCAATTTGTATCGGATGTGCAGTGTTTTAACTATTTACATAAATGATACTTGTTGATATTTTGACTCACTTTTAACCAATATTTAACACACCTTAGATCTTTCTTCCATTTTATCATGCAACCACTTGTACCACCTTTCCCACACCATATAGTATACTGACTTTTCATCATTTAATTCATAAGTTAATTTAGTCATCTCTGCGCACTGGAGTATTTTCTTAATTGTAAGCTCTTCTGGTGGTTGAATTTTCTCTTTCCAGTACTGTGCGTATGCCAATCTAGTGGCTGTAATTATATGGATCATTAAATGTGTCATTTCCTTTCTATATGGCTTCTTTATTATTCCCAGGAGGAAAATCTCTGGTGTTAGTTCAATATCTTCCCCAATTATTTCGTGTAACCATCTCCTGATCTTACTCCAATATCCTTTCGCTTCCGGGCATGTCCACCACATGTGAAAGAAGGTGCCTTGGCCATGGCCACATTTCCAACAATTGGGATGTATATTGGGATATATCTTCGCTAGTCTGGCCAGGGCTAGGTACCATCTATGAAACATTTTGTAATGATTTTCCTTATATGCCACCCCTCTAGTCAATTTAAGATTTCTGTTCCATGCCTCCTCCCATTCCCCAAAATTTATATTGCACCCTAAATTTTTCTCCCATGCAATTATTTGATTCTTTGTAACATCTTCAAACTTCTCATCGCTTAACAAATAATTGTATAATTTTGCCAGAATCTTTTTATTTGTTCCCATCAGGACTTTATCCAATCCATTTGGTCCCGGTTCTAGACCGTATTGTTCTTTGTCCCTTTGATATCTGGATTTTACTTGTGAGTAGGTCCACCAATCTAAGGTTATTCCTTGCTCTCGTAAGGTATCATTTGGTTTAAGCCTCCCTCCTTCGTCTAGAATATCTTTATATCTGGCCATTTTCTCCCTCTCCCGCCTATTTGGGTGAGTCAGGGCCTCCATCGTTGAGAGCCAATTTGGGATTTTCTTGTAGTGTTTTTGTCTGATCTGGGTCCATGTTTGTATCAAGGAATCTCTAATTTTATGTCTATGGAAATATGTCTTCTTTTTCTTCTCCATTTCCCAGATGTGGGCGTGCCAGCCTTTTTGCAAGTCATGGCCTTCTAGAGTAAGAATTCTCGCATTTTCCAGGGTGATCCAATCTCTTATCCAAACTAGCTTGGCTGACCTATAGTATGTTTCCCAATCCAGGAGTCCAAATCCACCTATATCTCTTTTGCCTCTTAGAATTTTAATGGAAAATCTTGTTTTTTTCCCCTCCCATATAAATTCTCTAATGATTTTGTCTAATTCTAGAAAGAATTTTTTATCTAAATTTATCGGTATATTTTGAAATAGAAATAATATTCTGGGGAGGATGTTCATCTTAATTGTGGCTATCTTGCCCAAAAGTGATAATCTTATTTTTTTCCAGTTATCTAGGTCTTGTTTTATTTTTCTAATTAGGGGAATATAGTTATCGTCTTTCAGGGTCGAACATCTTGATGTAATCCAAATTCCTAAGTATTTAATTTTTTTGGCAACCTGTAATCCTAATACTTCTTCTATCTTGTTTTGCTGACTCTCAGTTATGTTCTTAATCAATACTTTGGTTTTAGTTTTGTTCAATATGAAGCCTGCCACCTCTCCATATTTACTTAATTCCTCCAATACTTTAGGTCCCAACTCTATAGGGTCTTCAAGGATTAGGGCTACGTCATCTGCAAATGCTTGTGTCTTATAAGTCTCCTTCCTGATCTTCAATCCTTTTATTTCGTTAGCTCTAATTTTCCGTAAAAGGACTTCTAGGGCCAGAATGAACAATAGAGGGGATAGGGGACAGCCTTGCCTTACTCCCTTACTAATTTGGAATGTTTTAGTCCTATCCCCATTCACCAGGATACTCGCCTTTTGGTTGTTATAGATGGATTTGATCATCATTTCAAAATTTGTTCCGAATTTCATAATCTCAATTTGTTTAATCATAAATTTCCAATTTAGGTTGTCAAATGCCTTTTGAGCATCGACAAAAATCAGCGCCATCTGTTTTCCAGGGTGTTCCTCATAGTACTCTAGTGTATCTAGCACAATTCTCATGTTATCCCTAATTTGTCTCCCCGGTAAGAATCTGTTCTGGTCTTTATATATCCAATTATTTAAAATCTTTTTCATTCTTTCCGCAATTATGCCCATGAATAATTTGTAGTCCGTATTTAGGAGCGAGATTGGTCTGTAATTTTGAATTTGTTTTAGGTCGGCACCTTCTTTCGGAATGAGTGTGACATGCGCCTCTTTCCATGACTCTGGAATTTTATAGTCTAACAGTGCATCATTAAAAATTTCTACTAATTTCGGTTGGAGTATTTCTTCTAATTTTTTATATATTTCCCCTGGAATTCCGTCAGGTCCTGGGGCTTTATTGTTTTTCAATTTGGAGAGGGCTATTTTTAATTCTTCAATTGTAATCTTTCTATTAAGCATTTCTTTCTCTTCATCAGTTATTTGTGGGAGTTCTGCTTTTATCAAATACTTTTCTATTTTGTCATCCGATGTCTCCCCTTCTTTATATAGAGATTCGTAATATTCTCTCACCCTATCTCGTTTTTCTTCCTCATTAGTCAATAATTTGCCCTTAGAGTCCTCTAAAGTATGGATTATTCCCCTTTCATTTTCCTTTTTTAATTTATAGGCCAGCCACCTCCCCGATTTGTTAGTATTCTCAAAAAGATATTGTTTCGTTCTTTTCATTCTTTGTGCCAACTCTTCTTGCTCCATAATATTTATTTTATGCTTCCACATCATCCAATTTTCTTTGGCTGCTTCATCTTCTGGATCATCTTGGAGTTTTCTTTCTGCTTCTCCTATATGATTTAAATAGTCTTCCAGGGTCTTCCTTTCTTGTTTATTTTTATGTGCGGTGTATGAAATCACAACTCCTCTCAGGTAGGCCTTCATTGTGTCCCAAACTATTGCACGGGATGTGCCTTTATTTTCATTTTCCTTGAAAAAGAAATTTATTTCTTCTTTGAATTTTTGTATACAGTCCTTGTCGCCCAGTAATTTAGCATTGATCCTCCACCTCCGTTGGTATTTTCTCTGAACAGGCTTCCATCTAATTTCTAATGGATTATGGTCTGCCCAATCGTTTGGGTTAATTACAGCTGTTCCAATTTCTAACCCCAAACTCCTACTGACCCATGCCATATCAATTCTGGACCACGACTTTTGTGGGTTTGAAAAGAAGGTATATTGTCTGTCATTTGGGTGCAAGGTACGCCAGATGTCAATTAGATCCAATTCATCAACTAACTCAAAAAAAGCTCTCGGTAAGTTTGTCCTTTTATTTTTTTTTACTTTATTGCTCTTGTGGTCCTTCTCCGGATCCACAATGCCATTAAAATCCCCTATCATACAGATTTCGTTATATGCCATTTTCACTAATTGTTCGTGAAGTTTCTTAAAAAATTCTCCCTGTTTTTTATTCGGGGCATAAATGCCCACTAATAATACCTTGGAATTCCCTCTCTTAATTTCAACCATAAGGATTCTACCCTTTGTATCTTTGAATTTCAATTCTGCTTCAATTCCTTTTTTTACGTAGATAGCCACCCCCCTCTTCTTTTTCTCTGCCAGCGAATCAAATGTTTGACCAAATTTTTTATATTCTAAACATTTACTTTCTTCTTTTTTTATGTGCACCTCTTGTAAACACATTATATCAACATTTTGTTTACCTAGTTTTGTTAATATTCTTTTCCTCTTTTTATAATCATTTAGTCCATTAACATTTACTGATATTAGCTTCAAGTCATTCATTTCTATACCCCTATCTGATTATTGGTTCTTGTTTGTTTCTTATGGCCCTTACTGGTCTTGCTTTCTTCTCTTTGGCTTCTTCTTCTTCTTCTGTCTTCTCCTCTACAGTTGCTTCGTTTGTGTTCTGTTGGTGTAGGGCTTCCTCCCCCACTACTGCTATTTCTAGTTCTTCCTTGCTCCCCTGCTCTTCTTTCACACCTCTTAACTGGTCAAGGAAGTCTTGTGCTGTACTCAGGCTTTCTATTTTTATTTTTCTTCCTTGCCAGGTTATTAGCATCCCTTCTGGGAGAAGCCACCTGAATAGTATCTTTCTTTTATTCAACTGTATGGCCAAAAATCTATATCCCTTCCTCATCTCCCAGACTCTTCTTGGTATCTGTTTTAAAATTATTATTTCTTTTCCTCGGTATGTAATCTGTTCGTCCCTTGCCATGTTGTAAAGAATATATCTAACTTTTTTCCGTGCGAAGCGAATATGTACTTCTCTAGGAAGCTTGTTCCTTCTGGCAGACGTTTCATTACCATCCTCAGGGCTACATTAGGAATATTGCATCCAGTTTTGGTTGCCACTCTGGAAAGAGGGCAGAGAAGTGTCAGGTTTCGAGGTCGTCTCAAATAAATTGCATTTCAAACAAAGTCTTTGATGAAAACTCTCATTTATTGAGCACGGCATTCCAAGCCCGACTTCATTGTAGCTAACACTGACTTCCTGACCCAAGACCCTCATTTTCCTTTCCCCATTCCTCTGCATTCATTGGCCACCTTCCAAATCACTCTACCCCTAATCTACTGCTTCAGCTCAAAGGAATTTCCCCCCTCCCATCCATCTCCTAGGGGATATTATCTCCAGGGAAAATAAGTAGGTGAAAAGTCAAACGTCCCTTTCCAGACGCCTCCACTTCTCCTTCTTATGTCAGCACTAGAGTAAACGCAGCTTGAAGTGCTGACAAGAAGAGCAACAAAGAGGATTAAGGGGCTGGAGGCTAAAATACATGAAGAACAGTTGCAGGAACTGGGAATGTCTAGTCTAGTGAAAAGAAGGACGAGGGGGGATTTGACAGCAGCTTTCCAATATTTGAGGGTCTGTCACAAGAGGGGGGGTCAACCTCTTCTCCAAAGCACCTGAAGGCAGGACAAGAAGCAGCGGATGGAAACTGATCAAGGAGAGAAGCAACCTGGAATCAAGGAGGCATTTCCTGACAGTGTGAACAATTCATCAGTGGAACAGCTGCCCTCTAGACGTTGTGGGTGCTTTTAAGAAAAGATTGGCCAACGTTTGTCTGAAATGGTATAGAGTCTCCTGCTTGAGCAGGGGGTTAGACTAGAGGACCTCCAAAGTCCCTTCCAACTCTGTGATTCTGTTAAAACGTCTGCAAGAAAACCACCCAGCTCAGAGAGCAGCAGAACCTGCCTCTGCCCAGGGAAAAGCAGAGGAGAGGGTCTCCCTAAAATGTCTCCCCCGGCAGCCTCCTGAAGGTCCACCTCCAGCTGCATGGATTCAGCGTTTTCCTTGACGTGGAGAAATTGGAGGCCGGGAAATTTGAGGACAAGCTGGTCCAGAGTCTGATGAGTGCCCGAAACTTCGTGCTGGTCCTCTCCGTCCAGGCCCTGGACCGCTGCATGGGGGACGTGGCCTGCAAAGACTGGGTGCACAAGGTGAGGGGCAGGGGAGGGAGGGAGGGAGGGAGGGAGGGAGAAGCCACAAGGGCGGCTGTCCGGATGCAGGTCAGTTTGGGGGGGGGTCACAGTGGCTGCTCCCAACGCCCTGCAAGGGGGCCAGGCCTCTGGAGGGGGGGGCAGGAGGGGGCTCGGGGGTCCAGGGGGAGAGGCAGGAGGGGGCTCGTGGGATGGTGGTGCCCAGGAGGTGCTTGAGGAGGCTGCCCTTGCAGGAAATAGCCACCGCCCTGAGCTGCAAGAAGAACATCATCCCAGTGACTGACCACTTTGACTGGCCAGACCCGGAAGACCTTCCGGAGGACATGAGGGCCATCCTGAAGTTCAACGGGATCAAGTGAGTTGGGGGGGGGACCGAAGGGCTTCCACACCCCCTTGGGCCGCCCCGTGCAGACCTGGGCCTGGAGCGATGGAGGGCAGGGACCCCGAGAGAAGCCACAGCAGACCCTCCTGCCAATGAGGGAGAGGCTGGCTTCGTACAGGCAGTCCTCCACTTAGGACCACAATTGAGCCCAAAATTTCTGTTGCTAAGTGAGAAAATCATTAAGGGAGTTTTGCCCCACTTGACGGCTTTTTTGCCACGGTTGTTAAGGAAATCACCCTCAGTTTTAAGTGGGTCCCATGGTCGTTAATCCAGCTTCCCCATTGGCTTTGCCTGTCAGAAGGTCGCAAAAGGGGATCATGCGACCCCGGGACGCTGCGACCGTCATAAATGTGAGTCAAGTGGCTGAATTTTGATTAGGAGACCATGGGGAGGCTGCAGCAGTCGTAAGTGTGAAAAATGGTCGTAACTCACATTTTTCAGAGCCGTTGTAACTTTGAACGGTCACTGAATGAACTGTTGCAAGTCGAGGGCTCAGCTGAGTTCCCCCCTCCCCCCCTTGCCTCCCCTCCCTGCAGGTGGTCCCACGAGTACCAGGAGGCCACCATCGAGAAGCTGATCCGGTTCCTGCAGGGACGCTCCTCCCAGGACTCCTCCGCCGGGTCGGACAACAGCCTGGAGTGCGGGGGCCCCCTGGAGCAGAGCTAGGACGGACGGACGGAGGGGGGGGGCTGCCTGGCCTGCCTTTCCATGCCCACCCCCACCCCCCTGGCTGCCTCAGGATCAGCTCCTGCATGGCTGCCTCTCCCTCCGGGCCCTCCATAGCAGAGGCTGAAGTGAGCGAAGGGACCCCAACAAACCCCCGGCCCCCACTGGGCTTCCAAGAAGGCAAGTAGTGGATAGTGGATTCTGCCCTCAATACTGGATCTCCCCAGGGGGCTTTGGGGCAGGGGTGGGGATCTGGGCCACGCCCAGGGGGAATCGTCCAGGCATTGGCTGCCATGAATGGGGGCCTTGTGAAGCTTGTAGGGACGGGCCCCTCCCTCTGTGGAGAGTCTCAATTCTCCAGGCCACGCTTGTCCCAAAGGGGCTTTTTCCCCCCAAAAGCAGCTGGACTTTCTTGGGGTGTTTTCCTTGAAAACATTTCATTTCTCATCCAAGAAGCTCCTTCAGTACTTGAGAGTTTCCCCCTCCCTCCCTCTTTTTCTCTCCTTCAGCTTCTTGGATGAGAAGCGAAGAGTTTTTAAAGGAAAACAGCCCAAGGAAGTCCAGTTGCCTTTTGGAAAAAGCCCCTTTGGGATGTTTCTCCCCCCCCATCAGCAGCAAAGCAGGCCTTGCTGGTTCCTCTCCTGCAGGAGGTCCTGGCCCAGCCCTCCCCCCTGCCAGTTTGTGCCCCCCCCAGTGCTGCCTTGCTCCCGTTTGCAAGGGCTCCCCACTGCTCAGGACCCCACAGCAGCCTTTTCCTGCTCCAGCCCAGCAAGAGGCTGGACATCCCCAGCTGGAGCCTCCCACAGGTTGAGGAGATGCCCCTCCTCTGGAAGCAACCCCATGGGGCCCAGCCAGGGAGGTGGCTGGTGCTGCCCCCGCCCCTCTTGGCCTAATCCTATCCTGGGGGTGCCACGTGGGGCCCCTGAAATGGAGGTTCAGGCTTCAGCGAGACTCGTCCATGGCTGGTGGGCGCTTAGTGGGTCTGCAGATGGAAAGACGGCCTGGGAGCCCAGAAGGGGACGAAGGAAGGCCTCGCCCCTCCCCGCCATGCCTCCTTCCCACAGCAGCCGCCTGTGCTCCCCCAAACTGGGAGCAGGGGTTTTGCAGCCCCCAGAGGGGATGGCAGCCCCACGTTTCTTCGGTTGAGATGCTCCGAGGTGGCCTCTGTGCCATGGCCGGCTTCCTTAGAGTGAAAAGCCCCCCACCCAATTCCTGCTGCTTTGGCTGAAATAGAGACTCGAGGGGCCACTTGGGAGGGGGGAGGCTGAACCCTCAGAGCCCCGATGCCCCCACCCATGATGCTGCTGCCTGTGCCTTCTGCGTCTCTGCTCCAACTGCCTTCTCCGATCCCGCCAGGTGCGCAGAGATCGACCCTCTTGAAAATAGTAATATCACTTAGTCTTATATACCGCTTCATAGTGCTTTCCAGCCCTCTCTAAGCGGTTTACAGAGTCAGCCTCTTGCCCTCAACAATCTGGGTCCTCATTTTACTGACCTCGGAAGGATGGAAGGCTGAGTCAGCCTTGAGCCTGGTGAGATTCAATCTGCCAAACTGCTGGCAGCTGGTGATCAGAAGTAGCCTGCAGGACTGCACTCTAACCACTGTGCCACCGCGGCTCAAGATGTGCCTCACAGCCCAGGATGCCTCAGAAAGTGGGTGCCAGGGAAGGCTGGCCCAGGGACTTGTGTTTGAGAAGGGGGGGCCTTGCCCAGGATGGCTGGGTGCAGGGGAGGGGCTGCTCTGATCTCTTCCTTATACAGTGAAAGAAGAAGCTTGTATAAAAACTTGCAAAAGGGAATTCTTGCAAATGGTCAGTCTGCTCCTTTCCCAGCCTGAACATTCTGGATCTGGGGGGGGCATGGGCTGGGGGGCAGTTCCAGAATGACCGGGAGCCCCAAATCTGCTGGGCTCTCTTCCTCTTTCCGCCCTGTGGGGCTGGGCTGTGTGGCAAGGGGTGGGGGTGGGGAGATGCAAATATATTTTGTGCTGCTCCACAATATCTGCACTGCTGTTCTTGGTGCACCCAAATATTCAATTTGCTTGGGATACTACTAAAAAAAAAAAGGGCTTCTCAGAGCTTAGGTCACCCGGCGGCCAGATGCAAAGCTGCTCCCAGAATGCTCCTCTTCTATGCCCAGAGGGTGATGGGAGAACAGGAAACCCGGAAGCCTCACTCCTCCGGCTTTGAAAGCTGCGCCGGATATTGTGGTAGTTCATTACCAGGCTAGAAACGGGAATGAGGGATCCTTGGTGCTCCCTGAACTTGGAGGTTTTCTTGTTGTCGTTTCATTACCAAACTAGGCAACATCATCAGTGCTAGTAGGGAGAGGCATTTGCTCTGACACACACACATCCCACTAGCTCTAATGACATTCCCTAGTTGGGCCATGAACTGTCTGCAAGAAAATTTATTTATTTATTTATTTATTTAATTGAATTTCTATACCGCCCTACTCCCGAAGGACTCAGGGCGGTGAACAGCCACAAAATAAAAAACATACATATAAAAATTTAAAATCGAATAAAATGAATTAAATAAATTTGGCTGAATTAATACCCATAATTTAAAATACCCATATTTTAAAACACATTAAAATTTAAAATTTGCACTTAAAAGGGAGAAGATTTAGGCGAGGCCAGCTTGATGAAATAAAAGAGTCTTCAGCTCGCGGCGGAAGGTGCGCAGATCCGGAATCCTCCGTATCTCTGGGGGGAGCTCGTACCAGATAGTGGGTACCCCCACAGAGAAGGCTCTCCCCTTAGGGGCTGACAGCCGACATTGTTTGGCCGATGGCACCTGGAGGAGCCCCTCTCTGTGGGAGTGTACTGGTCAGTGGGAGGCTATTGATGGTAGTAGGCGGTCCCGTAAGTAACCAGGTCCTAAGCCATGGAGCGCTTTAAAGGTAACCAGAACCTTGAAGCGCACCCAGAAGACCACCGGGAGCCAGTGCAGCTCGCGCAGGAGAGGTGTCACACAGGAGTGCCATGCCGCTCCCATAACCACCCGCACGGCCGCACTCTGCGCCAGTTGGAGCCTCCGAGTGCACCTCAAGGGGAGCCCCATGTAGAGAGCATTACAATAGTCCAGACGAGAGGTGACGAGGGCATGAGTGACTGTGCGTAACGAGTCCCGATCTAGAAAGGGACGCAACTGGCGAATCAGGTGAACCTGATGAAAAATCCTCCCGGTCACGGCCGTCAAGTGCTCTTCTAAAGACAGCCGTGAATCCAGGAGGACACCCAAGTTGCGAGCCCTCTCCGTGGGGGCCAGTGATTCGCCAGCGATGGCGCCAGCTGACTATATTGGGACGTCGGAAACCACAGACACTCGGTCTTGGATGGGTTGAGCCTGAGCCCGTTTCTCCCCATCCAGATCCGTACGGCCTCCAGGCACTGGGAAATCACCAAACTCTGGGAGCCCCAAGGACCCCATAACAATAATCCCCCTCCTCCCTTCTAGCACTGATGTTCCTTAATTGGGTCGTGAACCGTCTGCAAGAAAATCAAGGTCCGCAAGCACCAAGAATCCCTCATTTCAACCCTGAGCTGAAAAAATTCCCCTTTATTAGAAATTGGAAGACCCGAGTTCTAGTCCTGCCTTAGACAAAAAGCCAGCTGGAGACGTTTGAGCCAGTCCTCCTCTCAGCTCCAGGAAGGGGGGAAAACACCTAAGTCTTGCCAAGAAATTGTAGAAGCTGCTCCACCAGATTGCCAAAACTCAAAAGTGTACACACAAGCACACTCCTTTGGCGAAAGTGGGCAGCCCAGATGTGGGCCAGGGGTGCTGTGCCACTCCATCTGGCTTCCCTAACACAAAGGCTGAGCGGCCGTGGGAGTGATCCCTCTCTGCCCATCCTCAAGGAGCACAGAGACCCCAGAAAGTCACTTCAGTTTCTCTTTTATTGTCCCTCGGCCCCCAGGAAAATCCAGGTAGGGGGCTGGCAGGGGAGACTGCAGGTCTCAGCAATCCCAGTGGGGCAAGGGCCGGTCCCCAGCGGTCATTCCCCCTTTTCAGCCCCTTGCTTCGGTCCTGGCAGCCTCTCATCAGGAAGAGTTTTGGCAGGGCCAAATCTGAAGACCCCCAAAACATTCTCAAATTCCTCCCACTGTCGGGAGGTATTGGGATTCCTCTGCCAAGTACCAGCAGGAAGAGCCCCGGGGAGCCAGCTGCCTGGTCTCGGGCCCTTGCAGTCCCTAAACCAGGGCTCTCCAAACCTGGCCACTTTAAGACTTGTGGACTTCAACTCCCAGAATTACAGAGTTGGCTGGGGAATTCTGGGAACTGAAGTCCACAGGTGTTATAGTGGCCAAGTGCTGAGCCCCCTGGTTTAGACGCAAGACCACTCCTTTGTGTGTTCACACCGTCCCAAGGCCTGAGCCCTGATCAGTCGTGGTTCCAGACGGCCGCGATCAATCGGTCCCCGCCTGGAGAAGGCGGATCCTCTGTGCCCAGGAGGCTCAACGGCTTCAGTCGTGTCGGGGGGACGGCTCGGCTTCCTCCGGCGGCTCTGGAAGATCCCCAAAATGCTGGTATCCAGGGCTGCCGTCTCGGATCTCTATCCCCCTGGAAGGAGAGACACACCCGCTCTATGAGGGATCCGTGGGGAAGGGTCTCAGAATGAGGCCCCTGCGCACCAAGGCCTGTTTGAGTAGTCCTCGACATACAACTGAGCCTCCCCATTGCTATCATAAGGTTTGAAAAATTGGTTGGTCATGACCATTGGCAACACGGTTGTTAAGTGAGTGTCACTGCCGTTAAGTGAACCAATGGGCACTATGGGCAGTCTTGCCAAAAACCAGGTGTGCCAGTTTTCAACAAAATTGTTGTACAGATAGTCCTTGACTTACGGTAACACCCAAAAAAGTGACTGATGACCATTTTTCACACTTATGACCATTGTAGCATCCCCACGGTCACATGATCAAAATTCGGACACTTGGTGACTGGCTCACAGTTACGACGGTTGCAATGTCACACGATCCCCTTTGGTGACCTGACAGGCAAAGTCAATGGGGAAGCCAGATTCACTCAACAACCGTGTGACTCACTTAACAACTGCAGGGATTCCCTGGCAAGAGAGGTCGTAAAATTGGCCAGAACTTGCTTCACAACTGTCTTGCTTAACAACAGAAATTTTGGGCTCTGCTGTGGTCGTAAGTTGAGGACAACCTGTATAATGCAGTCACAGGAATGCAGGGGGCTGCAGACACGGCTGTGTTCAATCCCATGACTACGGAAGGGGCCCAACAGGTTGGAGGTCCCCAGAGTAGATCCATCGTAAATCTGAACTAAGCAAGCAGTTGTAAGTCAAGGACCGGCTGTGCTGTTTTGCCCCTTTTGGAGAGCAGGAAGAGACAGGGAGGGGGCGACCCGGATGGCCTTCAGGGGACTCCTGTGAGGAGGAGCCGGGAGGGGGGGGGGGGGGGGGGGGGGGGGGAGGCAGAGGGGGGGAAGTTGGGGGGGGGGGAGTCGGGAAGTGGGCAGGGACGGTTTTTTCTCCCTTTCTCAAAAGAGGAACCTGGGAAAGGTGGTTTTTGTTACTGCCTGGCCATCATCGGCTGCAGTTTTTGGCCTGAAATTGCAGCCAAGATGCATTGTTAACTTCTGGAACTTCCCACCACTGGACCAGAAAACAGCAGCCAGCTTTAAAAGAAAATTAAAACAACTTCATGGAAGACAAACTGAATCTAGGATGGCCCCGGATCAGCCGTTACCTCAAGGGGGGGACTCCAGGTTCCATCATCCCCACCCAAGCTGGGAACCCCAACCCACCACATCTGGACCAGCCACATCTGTTCCCCCAGGCAGACTCACCCGATGATGGCAGCCGGCACGAGGAGGAGGAGGGCTCCGAAGAGGAAGGGGAAGCCCCTCATGAAGGACAGGCAGGCCGGAAAGAGGGAGCTGAAGACCCCCGTGGCCACGAGGGAGCACAGCCCCTCCACGCAGGCCACGGCGGCAAAGAGCGCCCCTGGACGGAGGGGGAAGAGACGGAGGGGTGGGTCAAGCAGCCTGGAAAAAGAGGACGGGTGCCCAGACCACCTGGCCCCCCTGCAGCCCCCCCTCCCCGGGAATCCTGAATCCCCAAACGCTCCAGTGATTCTAACCTTTTTATCAGGAAGGAGGTCCCCTGGGACAGAGGAAATATCGAAGGGCCCCCCAGCCCTTGGAGCAGTGCAGCCTTGGGAGGGGGCATAGGGGGACATGGAGGTGTGGGGAGCCCTCCCCTCCCGCCCTACCTTGCTCGGTCTCGCCAACCAATCTGGAGAGTTTGGAGCGGATTACAGGAGTAACCATCATGGAGAGGAAGAGAAGGCCGTAACCTGTGGGGAGACGGTCAGTGAGGGAGGCTGGAGGAAGAGCAGCACAAGGCCCCAGGAGCCCCATCTCTCTCGGCCAAGCCTCAGTTGGGGAGAGAAGCCCCCCCAACACACAAGCCCACCTGCCACACCAGCAGAAGCTGCCACTGTGAGCATGCCAGCTCACCCTTGGCAGTCTGGCTGAGTGCAGGGTGAGGTTTATTTATTTATTGATTGATTGATTGATTGATTGCCCTGCCAACAGAGTCCTTGGCACCCAGTCTGGGTCCTCCATGGCCCCTGGACCACCGGCCCTGCTAAATCCCAATCCCCCTGTGTCTCCCGCTCCTTCCTTCCCCATCGGGTGTTCATTATTTAACAATAATTTAATAATTATTTAATTACTGTTTATTAATTAGTTTTCAGTTATTTTACTAGTTAATGATTGTGTCCACTGTGTTTCTATGATTATTGAGTTTAATGGTTTTTTAATGTTCTAATGTTTTTATGCGGTAAGCCGCCCAGAGTCATTGGATGTGAGATGGGCGGCAAATAAATTTCATAGATAGATAGATAGATAGAAAATAAATAGGGAGGGAGGGAGGGAGGCCAACCCCAGGGAGGTCTCCTGAGGGTCCTTTGGGGGACAGACCCCCTGGCCCACCCTTCCCTCCGCCAGTTTCACCTGTAAACATCAGGGCTGTGGTCCCTGCCAGCGCCATGGTCACCAGCCCCAGTGCGTTGGAGAGCAGACCCAGCTCGGCCACCCAGGCGTCCCGCAGGCACCTCTGCAGCAGCCGCAGCCCCACCAGGCTGCTCAGGTAGGTCAGGTAATGGGCGGCCGAGCCGTAGCCAATCAGCTCCGACTGCCAGCAGAGCGGGGGGCCGAGTTCGTAGAGCACCAGGATCTCCCGGGCCCCAAAGTGCACCGTCACCACCATGAAGAAGGCCAGCGAGTAAAGGAGCAGCTGGTGCCACGTCTGCCCACGGGCAGGGCCGGCGTACAGCCGATACACGGCCTTGTAATGGCGGAGCGTGAGAAGCCGCTGCGGCTGCCTCTGCGGCACCGACTCCTGCAGGACGAAGGCCGAGTAGAGGGCCGCGGCAAGGCTGGCCGCGAAGACCAGCCAGAAGGGGGCCACGTAGCCCTGTGCCTTGCGCCACTGCCCGCCCAGCACGCTCGCTACCATGCCCGCCAGGCCCAGACAGGCCTCCAGGACGGCCACCCGGAAAGTGCGGGCCGTCCGGTCACTGACGTCGGCCACGTAGGCGAAGCAGCCGGCGAGGATCAGGTTGTAGTCGCCGGAGAGGCCGCTGAGCACCCGGCCCACCAACAGGTAGCCCACGGGCAGCTCGGCGTACATGACCACCAGGTAGATGGCTGCCTGCAGGGCCATGCCCAGTGCGGGCAGGATCAGCACCGGCCGGCGTCCCACGCTGTCGCTCCAGGGGCCAAAGAGGGTCACTGAGAAGAGCCCCACAAAGAAGCCAGCCAGGTTGAGGTAGAGGTTCCAGTGGGCCACCAGAGTCTCCAGCTCCTGGAAAGACAGAATGAGAGTTAGAAGGGACCTTGGAGGTCTTCTAGTCTGACCCCCTGCTCAAGCAAGGAGAAAGCGGTGGGAAGGTGGCACTAGCAAGACTCTGGGCTGCCCCAAAGAAAGGGAAAGAGAGGTGCAGAAAGGGCCCCAAAGCTGCCACAGGCCCAGAGGGAGGATGTACTGAGAACACATTGGCCTAATACAGGCGTCTCCAACTTTGGCCCCTTTAAGACTTGGGGACTTCAACTCCCAGAATTCCTCAGCCAGCAGAGCCAGTTGACTATGGAATTCTGGGAGCTGAAGTCCCCAAGTCTTAAAGGGGCCAAGGTTGGAGACACCTGGCCTCATACTGTTATCTATATATATATCAAAGCAAAATACCACTCGCGGCATCATCACAAAATCTCCAGAACCGTAAAGCCTACAAACTTGAAATTTGCCATGTATGTTCCCCCGTCAGCCTTGGAAGCCATATTAGGCCGGAAGCTTCAATGCTGCCATCGCCTCACGTGTGGGAAAGTAGGAGGGGGGATTTAGGAGAGGGGACTTAGTAGACATAATAGCGTTCTTCCTATCGGTCAAAGTCAGGGTGAGCCAGCATCTGGAGGAAGAGTGGTCAGAGGCTGGGTTGAGGTGGAACGGATGTTGATTGGAGCATGTGACCGAAAGGGGGTGGTCTTGGGAGCTTTGTATTGTTGAAGGAAAGCCCGGGTTTTTCAGATTCGGGATTTCCCAGATGTGCCAGTTTACCTACTGCTAGTAAAGAGAACTTTGGAAAATGCCTGCTTCAGTGTCTTTACTGGGAGTCGGGGGTTTTCTGGAGAAACCTCTTGGCTTCTGGGTACTCTCTAAGAAAGAATTTTACGAAATGACCATCAGAGCATTAGTATTTCCTATATTATTATTAACACGCTCTGATGCTAAGGAGTTCTACTCCCCCTCCCCACCTGAAAAGAAATATGTTCCAAATGCAAAACACAAGCGGAGGAGAGGAGTTTCAGTTTTACTTTCACAGCAGCAAGCAGCGGATAGGATAGGGGAGGCTTCTATGAGGCAAGCCTGGGGGAGAGAAGGGGAGAGGAGAGGCCAATCGTAACTACTCATTAATTTTCATGCTGTGTCGATTTATCAAGTCACAAAGTATCCCTTTCAAGACACAGAGTTTTCATTATAATCTTTGACAGGATATTACCAGCTACAGGTAGTCCTTGACTTACAACACTTCATTTAATGACTGTTCAAAGTTACAACGGCGCTGAAAAAAGTGACTTATGACCATTTTTTATACTTATGACCATTGCAGCATCGCCGCAGTCACGTGATTTACAGCTGGATGCTTGACAACTGGTCCATATTTATGACGGTCGCAGTGTCCCGGGGTCAAGCAATCCCCTTTTGCCGCCTTCTGACAAGCCAAGTCAGTGGGGAAGCCAGATTCGCTTAACAATTTGACTTACTTAAGAACTGCAGTGATTCACTTAGCAACCATGGCAAGAAATATCATAAAATGGGGTGCGACTCACTTAACAATTGCCTCGCTTTGCAATGGAAATGTTGGACTCAATTGTGGCCATAAGACAAGGACCTGCTGTACATTACATTACAATATTCATGATATATATATTTTTTCTTTTATTATAATGTCTCACTTAACAACTGAAATTTGGGCTTCATTTTGGCCGTAAGTTGAGGACTCCCTGTCCTTAGAAAGGAGGGAGCAATCTCAGAGCCACTGAAGAATGCAAAGGAACGCAAAGGACGACAATCTCGGCCTACCACACCCACCCTCACAAGCACAACAGGCACAGAGTTCAACTGCAGGAACGGCCTTGGACTCTCTCACCGCCACGGCCCTTCGGTCGGAAGGAACAAGCCCCATCGTTGCTGCTGGAGGCTTTAAGGAGACCCTCCCCCTTTCTCTCTCTGGAATCCGCCACCTGGTCCCCCCCTTGCCCCCCCCAGAAGGGCAACCAGGAGGGCAAGAAGGGGCAGACAGGGGACGCAGGGATCAGGGTGGGTAGCCCAAGTGGGTTATTTATTTATTTGCCAATTTAAATACAGGAAGTTCCCCACTTACAAAAGTTTGTTTAGTGACCATTCAAAGTTTCAACCGCATGGAGAAAAGCGACATAGGGCCATTTTCATGACCTTTGCAGCATCCCCATGATGATCACGTGATGAAATTTTCATCATGTGATGAAAATTCAGAAACTTGGCCACAAATTCATATTTATGACGGCCGTAATGTCCTGGGGTCATGTGGTCCACTTTTGCAACCTTCTGATGAGCCAAGTCAATGGCGAAGCCGGATTCATTTAACAACCGTGTTACTAATTTAACAACTGCAGTGATTCATTTAACAATCATGGCAAGAAAGGTCGTAAAAGCTCACTTAACAAATGTCTCACTTAGCAACATATATTTGGGGCTCAATTGTGGTCATAAGTCGAGGACTATCTGTACAACTCATCTCACTCTAAGTGTGTACAGTGAAAAGCATAAAAACGTAACAACTATATTAAAAGTGCAGTTCGGGTAGTCCTCGAATTACGACCGCAATTGAGGGCAAAAGTTCTTCTGCTAAGTGAGTCAGTTGTTAAGTGGGCTTTGCCCCATTTTATGACCTGCCTTGCCACTTTTGTTACCTGAATCACTGCAGTGGTTAAGTTAGTAACACGGTTGTTAAGTGAATCCGTCTTCCCCAATTGTTGTCACTGTTGTGCTGAGTAACAACAATTAATCTGTGAAACTGGTTGTTTTCGGAAGTTGTGGGTGCTCCAACAACTGGAGGTTTTTAAGAAGGGGCCAGGCAGGGGGTTGGACTAGAAGACCTCCAAGGTCCCTCCCAACTCTGTTATTCTGTTATTCCTAAGTATTCTTTACATTTTCAGTTTTTGACACTTTATTTCACTGCCTGATTTATTGTTATTGTTATGGACGACCACATTGTTATGCAGGCCTGGAAATGAATACGAGTGAATGACCCGGGTTAGGTTGGATGTACCTTTTTATACGTACAATAGTTCAAAGGTGTGAAAAGGGGAACGTATTATCCGGAAAAGCTCATGACATTAAAGGGTTAAGCAAAGTTTCCCCAGAGAAGAAACCTGGAAAGTATGTCTGGCCAAGATAATATCGAAGGACGAGATGTTCTGAGCCACTTTTCGCAAAGAAAGAATTCCTGAACACCGTTTTGTGATCGAATCTGCAGAATCCAAATAGTCCGGAAAAGAGAACCACCATCGGACGGACAATCACCGTATTTTGACCATCGGCCAAGGATGGAATCCATGATGCTGAAGCAACCCAGAGATCAGGCCGAGATAAACCGGCATTGTTTGTAACGAAAGAGTTGGTGGGAGGAGGAGGAGGAAGTCCCATCTTCCACTCCATCAAAGGGGGCTGGAGGGGGGCTTGGAAAGGAGCCCGAGGGCTTTTGCTGCAAAACGAACCTCTTTGTTCAGGGATGCCTTGTTTTGTGCTCTAAAAGGCTCTTCAAAGCTTCACTGAACCAGGCAAACAGGTTGTATGGACGCCAGCAGAGAGGTAGCTTGTCTCTGCGCAGGGAAGCTCCATTCTCACATTCCCAGAGGCCTTCAGACAGCAGGAAAAGCCCTGGGAGGGAGGCAGGGACGGAGGGGGCCTGGCCTCGGATCAGCAGCAGCAGCAGCAGCAGAGTAACCCACTACCGAGAGCTGGGAGGGGCCTTGGGGGCTCCAACCTTGGAAGCTTTTAAGACTTGTGGAGCCACACGCGGAGGTCCAGGAGACACCAGCAGCCTAGACAGCCTGGGAGCTCCCCGTTCTCTGCCGGGGCTGGACGGGCGGAGAAGGGCACCGACCCTCGCCTGGCCCTCCTCCACCCCCTCGCGGCGCCCGCAGGAGAGCTCCGTGGGCAGGAGCAGTCTACCGGGGCCGAGCCGGAAGCGGAGCCGCGCGCGGACGCACCTGAGGGCCGGGCCCGGGGCCGGTGTGGTTGGGGCAGCCGCCGGGCTCTCCTGGCGGGCCGGGGCCGGGGCCGGAGCCGTTGCGCGGGGCCAGCCGGTCCCAGAGCAGCTGCGGGCAGAGCGGCGCCTGCAGGGCCAGGGCCAGCGTGGCCAGCAGCAGCACCGGCTCCACGGCGCGCAGGCGGCGGCAGGGCGGGCCTCGCAACGGGGCGCCCGCGGGGGGCTCCGCCGCCGGCCCAGAGGGGGGCTCGCCCGGGACGCCGCCCGCCGCCAGCTCGGCCATGGCCACCACCCACGGCCCCTCCGCGCCCCGCCCCGCCCCGCCCCGCCGGAGGGAACTGCGCCGCCCCCGAGCGGGCGCGCCTGGCTGGCAGGGGAGGGGACGGGGAGAGCGGACTCCGCCCGGGGCCCGCGAGGCTCGGTGGGGCTGGGCTCTGGGCGGGGCAGCGGGAGCCTGGAGGCTGGGGGGGGGGGCTCAGCTGGGGGCTCCTCCCCGGGGCCACCGGACCAGCGCTCGGAGAAGCCCGCAGCCCCCTCCCCCCCCCATTTTTAAAAGAATTTAAAAATTTCTTCTTAAGCCAACCCGGCTTGCTGGAAAAGGAAGGTTTTCAGGGAACGACGGAAGGCATTGAGGTCCTGGATTCTTCTTATCTCGGGGGCAACTGATTCCAGAGGGTGGGAGCCCCCACAGAGAAGGCCCTTGAATTTATATTGATTTAGTTTCTTAGTATGATTTGATATGACTTGAGTTTCTAGCAACCAAACGCAGAGCATCTTCTACCTGGCAGCCAGCACTTGTACGCCTTAGCATCTTTCCATACGTTTTCCTAACTGTAGCAAAGATTCTACTAAGATACACCCTTTCTTCTATTTGCTCTTATTTTTTCACTATGTGGAGCCATAGCCATAGTCCTTAGACTTATATACCGCTGCACAGTGCTCTACACCCTCTTTGAGCAGTTTATAGAGTCAGCATTTTGGCCCCAACACTTTCGGTCCTCATTGTACCCACTTCGGAAGGATGGAAGGTTGAGTCAACCTGGAGCCTGGTGAGATTTGAACTGCCAGATTGCAGGCAGCCAGAAATCAGCAGAAGTAGCCTGCAGTACTGCAGTCTTAACCACTGCGCCACCATGGCTCTTATACGTATAGCTACTTCTCAATTTATGACCACTCATTTAACAACTTTGAAAAAAAATGACTTACGGCTGGTTCTTGCACTTAGGACCCTCACAGCATCCTGCAGTCATTCAATTAAAATTTGGGCCCTTGGCAGCTGGCATGGATTTCCAATGGTTGCCAGCATGCCAGGGCCATGTGAGCTGAAATGTTTGTAGACTTAGACTTAGACATAACTTTATTGTCACTTTGAATGCACACTAATCAGCATACGTTAAAATGAAATTTCATTGCATGCAGCTCTCAAAGGGTCTCCACCTCCAATATAAACGACATAAACATGACAAATAAATACTAAATTATGCATAAACCCACATATATGACACAGAGAAACAACACAATCTAGTTCTGATGTATTCATGTACATGTACATACATGTAGAGAGCTATCGAAAAAAGGTGTATTTATTTAACACTGGTTATATTATAGAACAGAACAGAATTCTTTATTGGCCAAGTGTGATTGGACACACAAGGAATTTGTCTTTAGTGCATATGCTCTCAGTGTACATAAAAGGAAAAAAGAGAAAAAAGAAAAAAATACATTCATCAAGAATCATAAGATACAACACTTAGTGATAGTCATAGGTTACTAATAAGCAATCAAATCATACTAGGAAACTAAATCAATATAAATTCTAAAAATACAAGCAACGTGGTTATAATCATGAATGGGAGGAGATAGGTAATCATAAGATACAACACTTAGTGATAGTCATAGGTTACTAATAAGCAATCAAATCATACTAGGAAGCAAATAAAACAATATAAATGGTAAAGATACAAGCAACATGGATTTATTTATTTATTTATTTATCAAATTTCTATACCACCCTACTCTCGGATGACTCAGGGCGGTGAACAGCCAAGATAAAATACAGATAATACAAACATTAAAAGTCCCTTAAAATTATTAAATATTTTGACCAAAACACATTAAAACACCCAATTTATAAAACAAATCAAACGATTTAAAAAATTTAAAAGGGAGAGTTAGGCCAGGCCAGCCTCCTGAAATAAAAAAGTTTTGAGAGCACGACGAAACGTGCTCAGATCCGGGATCCTCTGTATCTCTGGGGGGAGGTCGTTCCAGATGGTAGGTGCCCCCACAGAGAAGGCTCTCCCCCTGGGGGCCATCAGTTGACACTTTGGCCGATGGCACCCTGAGAAGCCTCTCTCTATGGGAGCGTACTGGTCAGTGAGAGGCTGTTGGTAGCAGAAGGCGGTCTCGTATACCCCGGTCTGATGTCATGGAGTGCTCTAAAGGTGGTAACCAAAACCTTGAAGCGCACCCGGAAGACCACCGGGAGCCAGTGCAGCTCACGCAGGAGGGGCGTCACATGGGAGCACCACGTTGCTCCCATAACCACCGCGCGGCCGCATTCTGGACCAGCTGGAGTCTCCGGGTGCTCCTCAAGGGGAGCCCCATGTAGAGAGCATTGCAGTAGTCCAGGCGGGAAGTGAAGAGGGCATGAGTGACCGTATTTAATGAGTCCCGATCCAGAAAGGGATGCAACTGGTGAATCAGGCGAACCTGATAAAAAGTCCCCCTGGCCACGGCCGTCAAGTGCTCTTCCAAAGACAGCCGCAAGTCCAGGAGGACACCCAAGTTGTGAGCCCTCTCCAGATATAGCCATAAGTGGAAAGAGATAGGTACTAAGAAGGATTAGAAGAATCCTAAACCACCCAAGCATCCACACAAGTCTTAGTAATACAGTCTTAGTAAATTATTTGACAGTGTTTTGGGAACTAGTTGTTTAGTAGAGTGATGGCATTCGGGGAAAAACTGTCCTTGTGTCTAGTAGTTCTGGTGTGCAGTGCTCTATAGTGTCGTTTTGAGGGTAGGAGTTGAGACAGTTCATGTCCAGGATGCGAGGGGTCTGTAAATATTTTCACAGCCCTCTTTTTGACTCGTGCAGCATACAGGTCCTCAATGGAAGGCAGGTTGGCAGCCATGGTTTTTTCTGCAGTTCTAATTATCCTCTGAAGTCTGTGTCTGTCTTGTTGAGTTGCAGAGCAGATATAGAGGTGCAGATGACAGACTCCATAATTCCTCTGTAGAACTGGATCAGCAGCTTTTTGGCCAGTTTGAGCTTCTGAGTTGGCGCAGGAAGAATATTCTTTGTTTGTCAATGCCTTTCTTCTTCCTGAAATACTCCAGATTATCTGCAATCCTTGAGCGGATTTTCCTGTTTTTGAGCCTTTCTCTGGAGTGAAATGATAAAAAAATATCTTCCACCCAGCTCTCTTGCACACAGAACAAGGTTCTTCTTTGATGGTTCTGGGGAATTGTGGTCTGAATTGTTTGTTGTGGGGAATTGCTGGTCTGAAAAGTTATATTTATGTAGTTACTTACCGAGCACATCTAAATTATATTAAAGCAACCAAAATATCTTTACAATCCCCAAGGCATGTCGCAACTTTTGAGCACCCTTAAGGTTTGGAAAGTGAAGCTGAAAAATTTGCCATGTCCTTTCGCCACAACCAACTCAACCCGGGAGAACTGAGGGACAGACAATTCAACACTGCATTCATTGTTCCATTCAGTTGTTTTTCTTATTGGTGGTCACATTTTCATCAAAACTATTGTAACTCTTCTTTTCTGGATTGACTTGATTTTATGATTCTTGGCCGCGGTTCTGTTGAAATTAATTTTTCTATTTGTTGAATTATCGTGGCGAGTTGGCCTCAGCAAATTGTCCCATTCCACACTGCTGGAGCCTCTGTGAACCATTTTGAATTTTTGAATTGTCTAAAATATTAGCCATCTTTCAAAAGGTTTCTTTTGCATCTTATGTTATAATATTTTGTATTCTGTTTTGATAATTTTTTATAAACTGCAATAATTGATGCTATCAGTACTTTGAATCTGGGTCGTAAGCAGCTTTTTCTGGGTCCATTTTTCCTGCTCTAGGTCCTGCATGATCGCCAACGGCCGATGACGGATATGGGAGGAGGAGGGGGAGGAGGAGGAGGAGGAGGGGGGGGGAGGAGGAGGTCCTGCAGGTCAGACCACACAAACCAGGGTAAAGGTGGTGGAAGGAACAGCAACATCAGGACCACGGACAGATCCCGGTCTCTGCCGGCTGTTCCTTCATGCGGCCCAAGTTTTGCAAATGGAAGGTGTAAAATCTGTATGTTTCTTTTGCCATCAAAGCCAAGTCCAGGCGCACCCCAAAAATTCCCGGAGGAGGAAAGACAGGAGCACCTTTATCCGACTGGCATTTGCATCAGTGGCTGTCTTTATCATTTATCTGTTTGATTTATTTCTCATCTTTATTTTAAAAAAAAAACACAACTCAAGCCAGTGGACATTCATAATCATCCTCCCTCCTATTTTCCCCACAACCCTGTGAGGTGGGCTGAGAGAGAGTGATTGGCCCCAAATCACCCAGTCGGCTTTCGTGCCTAAGGTGGGACTAGAACTCACAGTCTCCTCCTTGTTAGTCTGGTTCCTTCACCACAAGACCAGCGAAGGCCCCAGAGGACACCGCCCTGGCCTGAGGGCAAAGTGTCTGAGAGGCCTACTGAAAGAATCCAGGGTACGGTTGGACTGGCATCAGAGGCCCAACGTTGAAGGCCACCCACAGACATGGACGTTTCCTGGGTGATCTTGGACCATCACCCTTAATTTGCCCAACCTACCTCACAGGGTGGTTGTGGGGAACAGCTGGAGGGAGGGAGCACCTTGAGCACCTGAAGGAAAGGTTGAATAGTAATGCAGGAAAAAACCATCGTGGAATTTTCTCCCAAGAAAGGGCCACAATGCTGAGGAGAAATCGCCAATCTTTCCTGTTACCACCGGGTGCTTCTGGGGAACCAGCAGAGATCCTGAACGATAGAAAGTCCAAGATCTTTATACATTTTGGGCTCAGTGGTGAGAAATCTGAAGGAGCTGATTTCATGGAGGCCTTTTGAGCAAGGGAGAAGGGCCTTTCAACAAAGGGAAACCAGCCTTGTAATGTAGAGCAAAGCTGCTAAGAGTCCCAGAGTTAAGAGGGTGAAAATGGAGACGATCAAGTCTGCACGTTTGATCAGGATTCTGTGGTTTCCCACCTCCTGGATCCCAGGGTTCAGGATTAAAAGTCTGCTTTGGCAGCAGAAT